TGCTGAAATTGTTGAAACCGTTAACCTAGTGCCAAATAAGAAACTATGTTCTTCACTAGTTTACGGTTGTATTCTTAGTAATCTCTTTTCTAAAGCTGAACTCCGAGTTGGTCTAGATGCCTCATTTCCTCTTAAGAAACAAATCAATCTTCTTTCTTTAACAAGAGCGGGATGGGTCAAAAATAAGGAAACCGGTGCATGGGTTCGATCTTCTACTCCGGGAGCTAGTTCTTCACAAGCTCCACCCGAAGCTGACGAAGATCCCGAGTTTGAACAACTAATGAGGGATATTGATGAAGCTGAAGAAGAACCTGAACAACCCGAGGAGCACGCACAACAATCAACTCAAATGCCTCCATATTTTCAATCCTTTATGGAGACATTTGATTTCCGTTATGCGACAATGGATTCACGCTTTTCCTCTATAGAGTCTCATTTATCCACAATGGGAGCTCAACAATTAGAGATTCTTTAGGAGATGCGTGCAAACAATGAAGCAACCAATGCTCGTATTAATGAACTAACTCATGAAATGGCTGCTATGCGAGCCCGTTTTCCACCTACCGATCCGGATGCTTGATTTTATGTTTAGCTTTAAAACTTTGAACAAAATGAATATTGTTTCAACATTTTGAATTGTTTGATTTTGTGGATTGTTGGATTTTGGATTTATGGATAATGTGAACTTATATGTTTGGTGTGTTTTATTCGTTATTGCATCATTTACATCATTATTAGCAATATGACCAATTTTGCCATATCACATTATTTATGAATATTGATGAAACTAATGGCTAACCTCTCTTTTGATTGTGATCTTAGCAGCTTAAGCTTATAATTAATAAATCAATTGGCTAAATGATTTCAAAACCTTGTTTTACAATGTCTTTTTGATTTAACAAAAAGGGGGAGAAGAATAAGTTAAGTGTTAAATGTTTTACATAATAAATTGAAGAAGTGTTAAAGTAAGGGGGAGTAATTTCAAAGTAATTTCAAAATTTCAAAACTTGATTTCAAAAAATCTTAAAATTACTAAAATGTTTTGTTATATCAAAAAGGGGGAGATTGTTGAAACATTTTGATATTTCGATATAACAAATTAAGTTAAATGGATTTTAAGATTTTCCAAATGATTTTCTAAGTATATTCGATATAACTATTCGAATATCAAAACATTACTCCAAATATTTCAAAAAATCATTTTTAATCCTTACTTAAGTGTAAAATTAAGTTTTAATCATAAAACAATTTCAAAATAATTTTACAAAGTATTTCGAACCAATTCAAAGCCAAAAATTCCAAATTGCTCATAGGGAACCGATTCCCCCCCATAGGAGGAACCGATTCCCCCTGAATGGTTTGGCTCCAAGATTTCCAGAATGCTCGGAGGGAACCGATTCCCCCATAGGAGGAACCGATTCCCCCCTAAACAGTTTTGTTCCGAGAATTCCAGTATGCTCGGAGGGAACCGATACCCCCCAAGGGGGTACCGATTCCCCCTTGTACAACGGTCGAAATATTTGAATTTTACACTTAGGAACCGATTCCCTTCAAGGGGGAACCGATTCCCCCCACGCTCCAAGCTGTTTTATTAAATGTTTTCACACTAAAATGGCTATAATATCTTCTCTAATCATCCCCAACGTTCAGAAGTGATCCAAGGTGTATTTAAGCAAGCTTAGAAGCCATTGATCAGTAACAAGAAACATCAAGCAACTAGAATCAAGAGAGAATCAAAGAGAAAGCATCAAACCTCAAGTTTGAGCATTTCAAGCCTATTTTCATTCAATATTCATTTTGCTTTCAAGAACACTTTTTGTACTCAATTGTATTCATCTTTGAGTGTTCTTTTCTTTGTTCTAGAATTGTGCAAACATCTTACCTTGTGAGGTTTTCTTGTAAGTTTGCAAATTTGTAATCTTCTCTTTGGGAAAAAGAGTGTTCTCAAGAGTTGGGGTATACTCTTGAGGGAATTGTAAGGTTATCTCTTTGGCCTCAAAAGAAAGAACAAATTAGTGAATTTGTTGGAAAATCCTTAGTGTGGATAGCTAAGGTAGTGGACGTAGACTTTATTTGAGAAAGTCGAACCACTGTAAATCGCTGTGCAATTACTTTCAATTTTCTGCAAAAGCTTCCACAAAAATTTTAATTGCCAATTCACCCCCCTCTTGGCCGATTTCGTCAATCGATTAACTCAACAAATTCGACAGTGCAAGGAGGTAGCAACGAGCGACAATAACCGACACAAGGAAAGTGTCGTCTGGCGGTATAGGTGGTAGGTAGAGTGAATCGGTCGGTTAAAATAAAATGAAAAAAATAGGGCAAGGAAGGTGTGGTCGATAAGGTATGGGGATTTGGATTTTAATTATTTGAAAAAGAAGATAGTGATAGGTGGGTCCATAGTGAGTGAAAATATGAAGGAAAAGAAAATAAAAAGAAGTTGGGTTAATTTGAAAGTTTGGCCGATCAAGTATGGAGAATTGAGATTGTTAAATTATTAAAAATATTAAATAAAGATGGTAAAATGATAAGTGGGACCCATGAGAAGTTTAAAAGGAATGAGATTGTTATAGGTTAAAAAAGTGGTAAGGTGGGACCCACTGAAGTTTTTGAAACAAAAAATTAACTCCCCCAAAATTTGAGTTGGCGATAAAAGAGAACAAAATTGTCTTTAGGAATTGCTATCGTGCACCATGTGGGGGGTAGGGTTTTGCTAACATGCGTTGCTTATTGTTGAATTATGGTGCTGCCTCCACACGTGAAACATTGCTCCAAGGATGTATATTCGATTGAAATTTGAATCTGTTCAGAGAAAAATAAAAATAAAATTAAGCATATGATAAAATAAAATAAAATAAAATAAACTTAAATGAAATAAAGCGTGCTAAAAATAAAACGAAATGAGTTGCTTCCCATAAAGCGCATTTTTTTAACGTCGTTAGCTCGATAACATGTTTTAGACTATAAATTTCGAGAGAAATACTTCCTTTACTTTATACGTCTTTTCCAACTAAGAACTTCGTTATGAGAAATTCTACGATGATATAATTCTTTTATTCTTTTCTTGTAGATTTTGGCATTCTCATATGTTTTTTTACAAATCCTTTTCATCTTGTTTGAAAAAATTACTGGAGAAGTATCTTTTTTCCCAAAAATGAGTTCTTTAAGTTTTCTGGAAACTGCTTCAAATCGATTTGAGGAGCCTGCAAAATAGAATATATTATTTTAGGATTTGAGGTCCTTGCATAGATTATCAATAAAATTAGATTCCATATAATCATCAACGGGAGGCTCAATAATATCAACAAAATTAATACTAGCAACTTTATCTAGATGTCACATTGCTTTGTATACATCAAATTTTACGATCTCACCGTCAAACTCTATTGTAAGAATTCCACTTCTTACATCGATTTTTGTATTTGCTGTACTAAGGAAGGGATGGCCCAAAAATATTTCTGAACAAGTATTCATTCAGTCATTTTCCATGTCAATGACTTAGAAATCTCCTGGAAATATAAGCTCATTTACCTTAACCAAGACATCTTCCAAGAGTCCTTCGAGATATATTATCGATCGATCCTCCAGTTGTATTGTTACTTTTGTATCCTTCAAAGGCTTATTAGAAAGTAAGTTGTACACAAATAAAGGCATAATATTAATAGAATCTCCTAAATCACACATTGCACATTTAATTCCAACTTTACCAATTTTGCAAGGTATAGAAAACATACCTTGATCTTTTAATTTTAGTGGAAGCTTTCATTGGAAAACAACAGGAACATGCTCTCTCAAAATCATCTTTTCTGTTCCAGTAAGCTTTCATTTTGTAGTACAAAGGTCTTTAAGAAATCTAGCATACCTTATTTTTTGGATTACGTCAAGGAGGGGTATGTTGATTTCTACCTTCCGGAATACTTCCAAAATTTCCTTCTCTTCATCTTGTTTGTCTCTTTTTACTAACCTTGAAGGAAAATATGGCGGCGTTTCATATGGAGATGGTGTCGGATCAGGCTTTGAAACTTCTTTCTTTTTTCTTTGAAGATTTACGTCAATCTCCTTTTCCTTAGGAGGGTATACACCATTTGCTTATTCTTCTGCTTGGGGTGTTGAATTTTCTTCATTCTTTTTTGGATTTGTACCAACATCCTCTGGGACTGTTTATTTGATAATTGTACCACTTTGGAGGATGATGGCGCTAACATTTTCCCATGGGTTCACCGCAGTTTGTGATGGAAGCTTACCTTGTGATTCCAAGCGTCCCACAGCCTGAGCTAGTTGACTAATATGCTTATCTATTTCCTGTAAATAAGCCTCAGTGCAATTCTGGATTTTTTTCTTGAGAAATAGCCAACCTCTCAATGATAGATTCCAAAGAGGACTTTGGCGGTTCATGAGGTGGTGGAGGTGGCCTTGATTGATAGGCTTGATTAGGCCTTGGGTTTTGTCCATAGCTTATATTTGGATGGTCTCTCCATCCCGAATTATAAGTATTGGAGTATGGGTTATAGGGTCTCTGGGGAGGTCCCAAAAATTTCTCGACAGCATTTGCTTCTATGTTAACTTCCTCCTGTAGTATTGGACAACAGTCTGTCTGATGATCTGGCATTGTGCATATTTCACATACTCTTGATGATCCAATTTTTCCTACAACCAAATAATTAACTACGTCAGTTAATTTATCGATTTTGTTTTCTAAGGAAATAATACTTATCTCATGAACCCGTCGGTTGGCTTCACTTAAAGTGTCGAACTGCTGAGGGTTGGCAGCTATTGTCAAAATTAATTCCGTTTATGCAGCTGGTGTTTTGTTCACAAGAGATCCTCCACTAGAAGTGTTTATAGTTTTCATCTCCATTGGAAGCAGCTCTTCATAGAAATACTGGAGGAGTGTTTGCTCAGATAATCCGTGTTGTGGACAGCTTGCACAAAGCTACTTAAATCGCTCCCAATAATCATAAAGCGATTCTCCATCATTTTGTCTTATTCCCAGAATGTTTCTCTTTAATTCGCTTGCTTTTGCTGTTGGGAAAAACTTATCAAGAAAAATCCGAGTTAAATCAACCCATGTATTTATAGAATTGGGCGGTAAGTAAAATAGCCATTCTTTCTAAACAAGATAAAGAAAAAGGGAAAACCCGTAGTTTTATTTGGTCTTCAGATATTCCTTGATGTTTTATGCTTGAACAAACCATATGAGACTATGTTAGATGTTTGTGTGGATTCTCACTGGGAAGCCAATGGAGTATAGGAAGAAGATGAATATGGTTCGTTTTCAGAGTAAACGGGGTTGCGCCTTGAGGAAAAATAATGCAGAGAGGTTGTTGTATGGCATGTGTCATAGTCAAATCGTCTGATCTACCATTGGTTTTGGCGTATTCTCTGCACCTAGTGTATCTTTGGTTATCAGTTCTTCATTTGTATCAAAGGAAGATTATCCTTCCAGATTTAATTCTGGATCTGAATGCTCCAGTTGTTCTTGTTTTCGTTTCTTTCTTTATTCTCGAAACATTTTTGTGTGAATTCATCTGGCTCGAGCTTCGATTTCTGGATCAAATTCTACGAAATCAACTAGATTACTCATGGTCATAAATAAAAAAATAACTTTATTAGTTACTTTAGCCGAAGTCCCCGACAACGGCGTCAATTTTGATAGGTGTCGTTTTACTGTCAAAATAATTTTGGCTTCTTAATAATAAATAAATAAATAAATAAAGAGTAGAGTAGGGAAGCAAGGTTAGTCCACAGGGACTCTGGTGTTTCTGATTGATTTAGATAATAATGAGATAATGTAGAGTTTTGTATGAGATTAAATAGGGGGTTTTAAAAGTTGTTTTTAAAATAAAAGATAAGAATTAAATAAAAGAAAATAATTAATTAAATAAATTTAAAGTGATTTAGAAAAAGAGAAACTTATAGTGAAATTAGCCTTTGGCTTTAGTTTTTGCCTCAAATTCCTATTGATTCTCGGAATAAATTTTTGCTTCGGTTATTCATCGGTTACAGTTTATAGGGCCCAACACCTGTAACTTGTGTTTCTCTCTTGTAAATCGATAACCCAAAATATATTTTTGGATATCAGTCCTTTATGGAGACTAACTACGACTATCGTCGTTAGCGTCAAACTATTTTATAGATCTGAAAAAACTTGACTTGGACTATGTTGCCTCAATGAGAATCGATCTCGTTCTCAATTTCCCTTAACAGACAGCCTCTAAGTGTGTTCACAACTTCCGAACCAACGTCTACTTTTTTTTATTAAAAAGTGTTTTGATTTTAAAAAGATATGTTGATTACCAATCTTATTCCTCCAGAAAATTGAGAAAATAACTCGAAGTTATTTAGTGATTTTCAATCCTCACAATAGAGATTGAGTCATCGCTTTAGCCCTTGGATATGGAGAAATTAGCTAAGTATGACAATCATACTTATCATCTTTAAAAATAAAAATAAAAAACAAAGAAAAACTTTGAAAAAGAAAAGAAAACTTTTATTAAACCAGAGGAAAGAAGAAGAATGATTTCTGAATGTAAATAAGGAAAATATAATTCCTAAAATAAAGAGATAATTCCTAATGAAAATACTTAAACTATTTAAACTAAAATACTAAAAACAAAGATAAAATATAATAGAATATTTAAACTAATATCCTAAAAACATGAGTTTAATTTAAATTCGAACTGCATAAACGTGCAGCTGATCCATTTGTCCTTCTAGAAGCGTTAACTGGACCTTCTATAAAATGTTGACTCATCGCATCGTCAGATGCATCATGCTTGGAGTCATGTCCACTAATCCAGCCTTAATTCCGAAAATAAAATAAAAAAATCGCATAATTCTGTTCTTTTAGTGCAATTTCTAGAATCTAGTGTCATGCACAGAAAATAAATCTAAACGAACAAATTAACTACAAAAACTAACAATTAAAAAATAATTTAAAGTCGAAATAATAACTAAATAAAGCATCTATCAAACCCTCATTTATCAAACCCTCATTTTGATCATAAGAAATACAAGTGCCAACACCATCTAAAATTCGGTCATCAGTGGGATATGAGGCAGAAGTAAATAGTCACGAGCAACCACTTCCATGCTCCTTTCCTACTGCACTCTTGAACCATCCTCCGCCTTCAGAAATCTAATTCTATTGTGTCTTCGCCGAGCAGAAGCAAATCGGTGGAAAAATTTTGTATCATTGTCTCCATTCCTCAGCCAATTTGCATGAGCCCTTTGTTCCCAGTACACTCATCCTTATCGGCCTCCAGATTCAGCTGTAACTTCGTATCAACAATCTCACCCAGAACCTCATTAGTCGGCTGTAACTCCACAAGGTCAGCCAATTTCTTCTGTAACTCGTGAAAAGTGAGTCTTTTAATCCAAAAAATATTTTTAAACTATATGTCCAATCCATGACTAACATGATTTAGCTTTTCAATCATCAAACCGCCAACCTCAGCCCACAACCATCTTATCTAGCAGCAATGGGCAGTGATAAGAGAAAGCATGATCAACATGATGCAAAGAATAAGACGGAAATAAAGCCTTCTACAAATCAGAAGCCACCCCTCTATCCAACCTTCATGAATATTAGGTTCTGCTCACGTTCCACTCTCCCAAGTATACCAAGTCCCAGTAAACCCGATGTCAACCAAACCACACGAGTATAAAGCCTCCCAAAACGCCGTCATCTGCCTTTCACTACGAACCAACCCATTTTCCTTTTCAAAAGAGTAGAGAATTTCATTAAAGTCCCCTATAACTATCCACGGGATATCTGGACTGTCATCTAGTTGCCTGAGAAGGTCCTATGATTCAGATCGTCTACTTTTCTCTAGGGCTCCATAAAAGCCAGTAAACATGCACGAATGACCATCATCATCAGCATTAAACAGAACGTCAATATGAGAATTTGAAAAGGAGCGTAAAACAACAACATAAGTTTGTCTCCACACCAAACAGAGACCTCCACTAGTACCCTGCGCCTCAACCTCCACACCATAAAGCAAAGCACAAGACTTCCTAACTCTTTCCATACGAGAATTCTGTAGTTTTGTCACTATGAAAAAATTTACATCCGGATTTATGTTTCTCAGCATATGCTTGAGACGACGAACAGTCTGGGACACTCCCAACCCCTGGACGTTCCAGCTCAAAAGTTCATTGTACCCGGCTGACCTGAGAAGTCAGGCCTGCCAATATAACATTGTCTCCAGTTTCATTCTCACCTTGATTGTTTGGAGTAACTGGATATCTCCTTACTCTTTTAACTGGATATAACGTTGTATCTTATTTGTTGTTAGACTAATCTGTATGTAGAACTTTAGCCTCTGAACTTCTCAAATTATATTATTGATGCTTAGTTATCTTCTGAATTGTGATTCTTTTATCTGTTTGTACATGTATCAAAAAACAAAGTTTTGAATTCAGTGAAGTGCATAACATGAAATGATTCTGTTGCATATAGTAAGTCAGAACTCCCATGGAAAATGGACTTTTAGAACTCGTTCTCTGTTTCTCTATTGAGCTGAAGCTCACTACGATTATATTTTCCCCTCCAATTGTATCTGATGCAATGCCAATGTACAGCCCTGTTGCAGTTATTGCTCTCTATAGTCCATGTTTATACTTGACACAGCACAAATCCATGCCTCTCCCTTTGTTTATGGTTTTGGTGAGATCTTATTGCTGGAATACTCTTGCAGGATATGATTGAAAATGTGTTAAGAGATAAAAGATACTCATGTTAGAGAGGTGATGACACCTCTTGTCGATGTAGTTGCAATTGATGCAAGCTCAAGTCTTGTTGATTTCCACAATTTGTGGTTGACTCATCAATATTCATGGTAGAGAATCTTATTAATCCATCACTTAAGTTCTTTCCAACTTAATAACAGGCTAAGAAATTTGTTGACATTTATTCAGGGTGCCTGTTTTTTAGCAGCGTGATGACAATATAGTGGGTACTGCATATGCTATGGATCTACTAGATTATGTTCCAAAGGTCTGACAATTTCTGGTCTTAAATCACTTTTCTGATCATATGAGACATATTGATGTGTGCAACAATACTATAGTGTGCAAAATTTTAATATGTTTGATTTTAAAGGGTGGACTGCTAGAAAGTACAACTGTGGGGGATATGGCTCACAAACCTGCATTTTTTGTGCCTGGTATTTTTGAAGCTTATATCTTCTGTTTATTTTGCACGTTGAATTAATTTGCAGATGAATTTTGCCTTTCTGTCTCTCTATCCATTTGACCGAATAGCAGCTTCAGTTAATTAGAATTCATTAACATGTTTTGTCAACATGTCATTATGGATTATATTATGAGAAGCTGTTACAAATAGAATTGTTAATTTGTTTTGCAGATTCAATGTTAGTCTGGAATCTTCTTAGAGAGTTCCGCATTAGGAAGGTTCACATGGCTGTTGTTCTTAATGAATATGGTGGAACAGTTGGAGTAAGTACTATAAATTTCTGAATTGAGAACCTTGAAGTAAGGCAGTTCAACATTAACATGAGAAAATGAGGTTGAACATGGAAAAGTGTTCCTGCATTTGTAAAGTTGAAAAAGATGTTAAAGTGTTTTTAAATCCTTTTATCTCTTGTTAAAAATTCGCTGAGTGGAGTCTGCGATGTGCTAAAATCTTAGCAAATGCGGCAGGAAACAGTGAATATGCATTTCTACCTATCCTTGCGCTTTTTAGGATTGCCCCTTGTATTCTTTTATCTTATTTTCTTATTGCTGAAACAGATAGTCACCTTAGAAGATGTGGTTGAGGAGATTGTTGGTGAAATTTTCGATGAAAATGATTCAAACGTAAGTCTTGCCATATCTTTGATGACTTCATCAACGACTTGGTTCTTCTGCTACAGACTTTAATTCCTAATTATTTAGATTTATTCAAACTGCTGCTTTTCATTACAGTCCAAAACCAGTTAATTTTGTTGATCTATGTCAATTTTCTGCTCAGTAGCACACTTTGCTGGTTCTCTTTTCACGTTTCTTTGGGCTTGAAATATATATATATTTTTTGTGCTATGGCAGGAGGACATCCAGAAGAAAACTGGCCATTATGATGCGAGCAGAGGGAATCTTTGATGTTGACGCTAATACATCTATTGATCAACTCTCTGAAGATCTAAATATCAAAATGCCCGAAGTATGTTACTCGTATTAATTGATATAAATCTTCATGCTTAAGTTCTCATTATACTCGCAAGTTTCAGCTAGTATAGTTGAAATGTTCATGGATACGCACTGAGCTGTTAAAACGGAGTGTCGTCTGTTAATATCTATACTAGATGAAAAGGAGCTTTCAATTGGACCTCCCCTCACACTATCTTATATATTTCTTTGTTTCACTTTGCTGTTTTATAGGAACATCAATATCAGACAGTGTTCGGTTTTGTCTGCGAAGCATTTGGATATATACCAAGGACAGGTGAGAGTATTAAGGTAGTCCTTGAAAAGGAAAATGAAGAAGAAGATGATGAGAATTCTGAAGATGGATCTGATCAACAAGGTCTGAAGGAAAGGCATCAAATTTTTAAACTTGAGGTATGGTTTGAACCGTGTTCCATATGTGTTTATATTGCTTAGCATTGATTTTGAATAATGTCATTGTATATAAATGTTCCCCAATGGTGTGTGGTCGGATATGGACGGAACGAGTGCAGCTAGAATTTTTTTACATCTGGAAATTAATCAGAATCTCTTAACCAAGACTATAACAGTTGAAATTCCAAACATTTAGATATTAGAATTATGAGAAACTTCAGTTACTACGATATTATACTTGTAAATCCGGGTCTTCTACCTTAACGGTGAAAGAGAGGTGATTCATATCCCTTTTCTCGGCAAAATCACTAAAATATGATATTCCAGACTAATATCATGAGATTTATTTTGATATATCTTCCTGTAGATATTTCATTAACCTGACAAACACATGGGCTAGATGATCAGTTATGTCACTAACATATTATTGTGGCCAACATGTTTCTGGTGCAGATATTAGCAGGAAATGCCCGAAAAGTTAGTGCCATTGGATTTGAGCGGATAAACATTGAAGAAGAACTATTACATGCCACAGCAGTAACTCCGATGATTCCGAAAAATCATAACGAGGAAATCGAGCAGTGATGAAGACCCAAATAATGGTAACTATGATGAAGATACATTTGAAAAGAGGCAAGAGGAAGACACCTCAGATCACTATGTAACTGCTGATTATAAAGAGGATACTGATAGTCTCAATGAACAGTAATTAATAATACACTACGTCACTAATTTTCACCTGAACACCCTCCTCTTCCCCTTCCACATTTCTTACAGCTCCGCAAGAAGAGGTAAAGGATTGAAAAACGGGACAAAAAAAAAAGACCAACATTGTACAATTTTTCACAGATGAAGTGAAGTGTCAACATCTGAATCATTAAAGGTGGATACATGCATGGCTGCATCTCTCAGCCGTAAACTTGACAAACTTGAAGTATCAATAACCTGATGCTGATCATGGATACTAGTTTGACAGTAGATAGATCCTTGGGGAGAAGGTCTTGGCTGAAGGATCAATTCGGAATGGAAAAACGATTGGGGTACCTGATGAGGTGCAGCTGGATTGATCCGCTCCGCTTCGGAGAGTAGCCGCAAAACCTCTCTCTCCTGCCTCATTTCCTTGGCTCTCTGCAACCGTCTGAACCTCTCTTGCAAGAGGGCAATCGACGAATGAACGGCCAGGTCACTCTGCCCTCCCATTTGCAAAAACGAAACGAAGCCTACATAGGGTGCTAAGCGATGTGGTATAGGATGACTTGATATTGCTATATTATTATATATAGGACAGTAGTAAGCTTTGGAATCATTACTCTATTCAAAGTGAAGCCATTTAAGTGATTTCTCAATGACGTAAAAGATAAAGGCACGTAGAATCGGCCACTGAAACGTAAAGTTCAAGAAGGCAGAGTTATGTGGAAATAAAAATACTTGAGGTAAAAGTACTTGATAGCAAGAAAAGGGTGAGAAATAAAAATCCAAACTTTGATGGAATGTAGCATTTGGAAGGACATGTTTTGCAGAATAAAAGGATGGTTTATGATGCTCTGTCGACTTGTTGCCAAGAGCTATTGGCCTTTGGAGAAGATAGTGCCCCCTTTTTGGTGGGGGATTTGGTGGGGATCTTATATTATTCTCACCTTTCAACATTCTCTTTTCACTTTGTTGAGAAAGCAAAAAAAGAAAAGAAAGTGGAGACAAAAGTTGGAACAGGGAATATATTTTGGACTTTGGGGTTATAATGTTTTTCACAATGGAACCCCATTTTTTATTGAAAAAAAAAAGCTTTTCTCTCTCAAATTGTATGTTTTGTTTTGTCAGCAAGTAGTTGGATGAAATGGCATCAAAGGCATAAAGCTATTGGATTCGTTTTGTGGCTATTGTTGTTGGAATGCATTTTGCCTTTGAACCCTTCATTGTTGGAAGATAGTGCATAGGCTCAAAAGCAGCCTACCCGGTCCTAGATATCTGATATCAACTTTGGCTACTTACAATTTATCTAACTTTAGCCAAACGAAACCAGTTAAATGAGGAACTGGGTGATGTAACTTTTTTTCTTCTAGTTTTCTCTTGTCTGAGACATCAAATTGTCAATGGTGATGGTGTTGGTAAACAATACAATCTATATTGGTTAAATATAGAAATTCATTTCATTTCATCATATTAACAAATTATGGTTCATGCAAGGTCTTCAGACCCACTTATAGATTCCTAATATCAAGGTTATAAATATTGAAGAACAATTATTCAGTTTTATTGATGGGAACAAGTTTGTTTCATTGGGGTTGCTGACGATGCATCTCTTTTGATTTGAGCAAAGAGATTTTGTTGGTGCAAAGATTGTCGTTAGCCTATGTTCTCTGAGAGAAAAGAGGAGAAAGATAGCATGGGAGAGAAGATGGATAAAGCATGTGAGAACCGAGAAAAAGAGAGAGATGAAGGCCTACGGAAAAGATGGTGAAGAAACCCTTTTCTCAGTTTTAATTAAGGGGTATTCATAGTGGTTGTAGTTGGTTGTATCAGGCATAAGATAATTATGATTACTACTTGTAAGTCAACAGACAAAATAGAATAATAATTAGATCTTAGATTTTGCTATAATATGTCGCATAGGCCTATAAGAGGTATTGTCTATGCATTGTAAATGGCCCGGAGGCTATGATACTTCTATGTCTAGAGGTTATGGATTTCTTGGGAGTTTTCGTTGTAATACCACAAAATTTTGGTTATTGACTGAAATATAATTTTTGAAAGTTTAGTGACCAAAGTATAAATTTGGAAAAGTTTATGGATCAAAAATGGTAATTTTCTCAAAAAGACATTTTATCCCGTAAATGAATAGTTTACCCCAAGAATGGAATTTTCATGCTACGCTGATTTTTGATACGGAGTTTCTATTAAAAGCTATAAAGCGATAAAGTCTTGGAAAAAATTGAATAATCGGATCGAATCAGATTCTTGAGAAATTATGAAGGATGATAGGAAAAGGTTAATAATTTCATTTCCATAATTTAAGTTCGTAGAATTTAACATTGATCATTGGGTTTAAGTTGATTTTCCCTGTTAAATTGGGACCTTTGGATTAAAATGGAAAGATTGTAAATTCGGGAAAACTACATGGGCAAAGTTGGAAAATATGAATATAAGTGTTCATATTTGACTTAGGATGATGCAAGGATGATAAAATTTACCTGTGACATGGTAATTATCATGGATTTTTAAGGGTATATTTGTCATTTTCCATTAAATGAATTTTTAATTCATTTTAACCATTAAAATGAAAAATGTACTTAGATATTTTTTTAGAAAATTCATGAAATTGGTTCATCTTCTTCCTCCTTGGTTGTGACCTCCATAGCAAGGTTAGAAAAATTTTATTTTTCATTTTCAAGTCAATTCCTTTGTTTGATGAAAGCAAGAAATAGAAAATTAATCTACATGAAATTATCTATCATCTGGTATAAATTATTCATTTTTTTCTTGCTTGAAACCTTAGTTGCATGAATATGGTGGATGAAGGGGAGATTTGATTTTAAAGTTTTAAAGATAGATTTTGATGTTATTGATGTTGCATAATCATTTTCATGCTTGTAGGATGATTGAAAACATTAGAAATGGTTAAATCCCAATTCGGCCAAGTCTAGGTTTTTGTATAAATTTTAATTTGGATTGATTTTGATATGGGAATGATTGGAGATATATGGAAATGGTATTTCGAGGTTGAATCCATGCTTGAATCAAAATGAAAACCATGCCTAAAATTACATGGTAGATTCGACTATTGAAGGAAAAATATAGAAAAATTTCCCTAAGGCTAGAAATGATGTGTGAATGATTTTACAAGCTTTAGAATATTGTTTGGACTAATTTGGAAATTTGTAAAGTTATAGGGACCTATTCGCATATTGTGAGAATTTTGGGATTTAAATGGAAAATGTCCAATAGTTGATGTACTAAGCTTGAATGGATTTGTTGGAATACTTGAATATGATATTAGGTGCTTGTATTGAAGTTAAATGGCCAGGGACATTTTGAATAAATTGGAAAAGTTGAGATGAATTCTAAAAGAACTCATATTAGTGGTTGAATTGTAAAATTTGAAAATGTTATGTGAGCTATTGTTGGATATAAATAGTAAAGGACTCAAAATTATATTTTGAAGTGTTAAGGTTGACTTTGATCGTATGAAATGGAATTAGTATCGAATAAGTATCAGAAGGAATTTTAGTAGTTTTTATGCTAATGTGCGCCTATGTTAGTAAGCTACTAACATGTACATTAAAGTGTATATGTTTCATAAATGATGTCTATATAGGTCGTGATCGAAATCGAGAACAAAGCGAGCTAAAAGCTAAGGAAAAGTGCAAAAGTAAATCTTATATCGTTAAATAAAGTGTACAAGATAAGTATATCAAGTGAGTGCATTATTATTTTTTATACTATAGTATATGATTGATATACCTCGTAGAATGTACAAATATGTACCATATAATCACTCCACCTCATAGTATGCCAATTATAACTACAACTCTCAATATGCATACAATGGGCCTTTTAACACAATATCATATACTATTCATTTATCCAAAAGTATCAATAGATACTAACATATCAAAATATCATATACAAGTGTATTTAGGGATGGCAGACGGGTACAACTTTGTGGATTTCGCACCTCACCCACTCCAATTGGGATGGGGATAGGTATAAGTTTGGTGGGGTAATGGGCGGGTGTGGATGTAAAAAGTCATACCCGCAGTGGATAATGGGTAGGTGATGGGTTTGAGACCTTACCCGCCCCGCATCCGCTCGCCCACTGATTACCCCCTATATAAATTTTGGACCATTATGAATTTAGGTCTAATTTTATAGACTAATTTATAAACCTTAAGATTTTATAAGATACAACTTATAATTTAACCAAATGTTAGGATATAAACGTTTTTAGAATCATTTCCAATCTTTAGAATCAATTTTTTTTATCTGACTAGTGGCCGTCGTTCATTGCTTTTCTTTCTGCCGCATTCCTCTGGTAAGCTTTTCTTCACTCCTTTTTAAAGTAAATCTAAATTACATTACATATTAACATTGGTCTTAAGCATTCGACACTTGGATATTCTCATCAAAACTGCCACGTGATACTTTCTTTCTCATTGATGTAAAGTTTTGATTCCAATTCGATGATAAAATTCTTTGAAAAGAGTATGAATATGAATGGATACTCTGTGATATTTAAATCAAAAGGATTGCTTTTAGCTTTAAACAAGTAATTCTTTATGCCTTGGTTTAGGAGCAGTGGAGTGCTTTTTTCATATGATAATAACAAATAATTTGTTGATCTTGTTTACTTTTGTTCGATCAAATGATAAACACCTTACACATTAATAGTGAACAAAAAGCGAGATTGTAAGATTTGTTTCAATCTGCGTGTCTATGATTTAGAATAAAAAATGTGCCCATGAACTAAGATTGTGATGCATGTAAAGTTAAAGTTAAAATAATAAAGCTAAAGTTCATTAAAAAAGAATAGCACTCTCTACA